CCCTCACTGTTTCCAGGATGTCTTCGTGGGCCACATGAAACCACTTCGTGGACCGCATCCGGCCCCCGGGCCTTGTGTTTGACATATCTGGTTTAGAATAATGACACCACCCTCACCATCTTCTTCTTTTAGGTGTTTACGCTGGAGTGTTCTTCGCTTTCTTGCTCACTCATGCAAAAAGTAAGCAGTAAGTTTTTTTTTGTCCATATTTTGCAAACATAGAGCGACGCTTCTCAAAGCCGCTGTGTCTTCAGCAGAGTGTTTCCTCCTGGCTGAACTCCCACTGACTCATTTCCCCACCCTGGCTTGGTCATGAAACATTAGCAGCCTATACCTTACCTTACGTGCTGGACTTAACTTCTTGCTGTTCTTACTACTCAATAGTATCGTAAATGCTTTTCTTTTCCCCACCCAACAGGTTTTTTTTTTTTAAAAAAAAATTACTCACAGGAGCATTGACAGGTTTTTCTTTCTTGTTTCTTCTCCTTCCCCTAAAGATTTTTACGGCCAACCGTTTGGAAGATGAAATTACCATTCTAGAAAAGCACCCTGAATTGTTAACCCCCTCCGATTTTCAAGGCAGGAAGGTAAGACCCCTGAGCATGCCGTTCTGTTGGGCAAGGGAGGTGCTGCTGACGTGCTTTCCCTCCACCTAAAGCAGGGGTCTTCAAACTTGGCCCTTTTAGGGCTTGTGGACTTCAACTCCCAGAATTCCTCAGCCAGCATGGCTGGCTGAGGAATTCTGGGAGTTGAAGTCCACAAGTCCTAAAAGGGCCAAGTTTGAAGACCCCGGGTGTTGATGATGAAAATTGAGTTTCTCTGCGTCTTTCTGTGCCACCTGGGGCTGGTTGAGTTATTCATGTCCTTTTGTTTCCCTTTCCTTGAGATATCCCTTTTAATCGGCGAGCCTTTCTTCTCTACGAGCCTGCTGCCCTGGCACAATTTATATTTCTGGTTTGCCCGGACGGCTTTGGAGAGCCATCTTTCCCGTGACGTGACCGTCCTTCCCCAATCGGCTTCTCTCCACCTGATGACGGTGGAATTCAAGGTAAGGATGAGTTGGGGTTTTTTTTTTTTGGTTCCCAGTAATAATATGTTTTCGTTTCACACTTCTTTTGTCTGAGGAATGCGTTATATAAGTCCAGCTGAACATTTTCCTTGATTATCCTGTAGGGTGGGAAAGCAGAGGGTGGTTGGTCAAATTAATATCTATGAACATCTCTCTGTCTCTCTCTCTCTCTCTTTGTCTCTATCTCTCTCTCCTCTCTCTGTCTGTCTGTTTGTCTCTGTCTCTTCTCTCTCTCCCTGTCTCTGTTTCTCTTTCTGTGTCTGTCTCTCTTCTCTCTCTCTCTCTCTCTTCTCTCTCT